CAGGAGGAAGACAGAAGAGAGTAGTGGACAGTGCATGGCAATCAGAGAGATGCAAGATAAACGCAGCAACCCAAGGGACAGATAAAGAAAGTGATAAATGTGAAGCAGAAATACTGAACAGGTATTTCAGGTTCCACAGGTATAGATACTACCCCAGTAGGATAACATTCACCTGATTCAACTTTCTAGAGCCTAATTTAGCTAGCTTAGTCCACCATAATCAATGAAGAGAGGAAAAAAAAAAAACCTATAAAGGGAGATTCAGAATAGGAAACCTTTATCACAGCTGGTAATTAAGCACAGATTTTGTCAGATTAAATGAATACTTCCCTTGATTCTGTCTTCTGTTACACAAATCTACACCTTGAGACTCGTTTCATGAATTATACACATGAAAATGGCAGATAGTAGGCCTTAGTTATGAGATGCTTCTCATCTATACAAGTGAGGTTGAGAAGAGAAAAAAAAAAAGGGTAGCTATTTTCCCAAGGTTCTACTGTGAACAAGTGGTATAATCATAAAGGATAAGGTCTGTTCAGCCCTGTGCACGCTGCATCTTACCCCAACGCCTAAGGCTGTAAAGAGCTGCAGGCTGCACGGCTTCTCCTCCTTCCCCCACCCCGCACAAGCAAATGCCTCGAAGGATGCGTGTGTTCTACGGAGGAACATCATTCCGAAAACCTCTGAAATAAGTATGAGCAATTGCAAATGACTCTGAGGACTTTTCAGCAATCTTCAAAATACTCCCAGTGTCAGAGCATTTGAATACGCATCCGGAGTTACGTAATTTAGCAAGAAAAAAACAACGTACACCGATCATGTTGGGTGTTTCTGTCTGCTTGGCATCATTGTGCGATCAGGCCAGCAACAGCCCTACCCAGAAAGCAGTAACTCCTGTCCAGTGCAGCCTGTATTTGTTTCTCTAGGCTGCAGAGAACTGGTGTTCTAACGCCATTCGAAGCTTAACGTGGAAAACACGGGCACATTCACACACTAATCCTCCCCAAACCTAGTTATTCACTCAAACAGTGTTTGAAATAACAGAGAAGAGATCACGTCCTTCAATACTTACAAAATTAGAGAAGAACGTAACGCTACAGAAGTGCGGAGTCCAAGAAAGCAGGGTTTTGGGCTAATTGCTCTTGCTATTCCACCTGATAACACCAAAACCTCAAGCCTCAATACTAGAGTTGGGAATAAGGTTTTTAGCGGCAATCCAAGAACTAAAAGTCAACAGATGCAACAACACTGCCTAATCCAAACAGCACCTTACCAATCTGTGCACTTTATAGCATTTGTTCTATCGGAAGAAAAATTTATCTTAATTTATGGTCCCCAGACCACAGAGTACAACTAGAACAACAGCAGGGAACTTACCAGCAGCAGGTAGTAACCAAGACTGACAGCACAACAGCTCAAACAGTAAAAGGTACAGTAAACTAGACTTTGGAGGAAGCTAAAGCCTTGGGAACAGAGTTACATGGCACAGTACGTTTTTTGGCAACAGTATTTCAGGGAATTCCAGATATCAGTAGTGGGTTGTGAATTGCTTAAATTGAGGCAAGGAGAAAACTCCAGCCAGGTACAATTGTACTTAACTTTCTAAAATTGAAAATTACCCTGATAAAAGTACCCACCTCGAAGGTTGGTTTTGGGGTTTTTTTTGTTGGTTTGGTTTGGGGTTTTTTTTTTTCACATCCATGTGTATAATCACACGTTCACATTATCTGTATACATACGTATGTATACTGGAGCTGGAGACAAACGTCCATTGGCACCTTGCACTTCCAAACATACTACAGAAAGCCTTATAGATTAAAAGAAACAAATGCATTTGAAAAAGCAGAGGTTTACTGGTAACAATAAAAATACTTGCACCTTCATCTGCAGAAGTAACATCAAGCTACCAAGAAAACTAATGACGTTATTTAAATAAGTATTCTTTCTCAAAGTAAGCCTGCATCATTCTTAGGCAGTTCTGAAAGAAAAAGAATTCTCTACCTATGTAGATACACTTTTTTTTTCTTCTGAATGGAGACAACACAAATGATGAACATGGTTAAATACAAAACTGAAAGGTATTTCCAGAGGGATCTTAATTATAATTTTTTTTTTAAAAAACACAAATAGCTCTTGACTGCAAGTAAACACTGAACAAAGTGGTACACAGAAAGCGGAGAACTTCTGAATCAAAATACCATGTACTTATCTTTTAAGTATTATGCCAATGGAAAATAGTTTTTACACAGCTTAAAGGAAAGGGACACTGCTTTAAGCCTGTGCTTGTATGACCACGTGCTGCTTGTTATACCCTTCACATGGTCAAGAGCCCGACGTCCCCATCAATTCCTTGAAGATCTGAGGGAAGAACCGCTTCAGCGGTCGTGCTGTTCTGCTGCAGACGAGGCCTGGAGGAGAGGAGCAGTGGAACACTAAGGTGGCAGGAGCCTCTGCAGCCTCCTGGGGCATGACTCGGGGTATGCAGCGGTCACAGCGACTTAGCCCCGGTGGGGGAACCTCATGTGAGCTGCTTAAGGGATCTATAGGGTACACTCTTGACTTTGGCACAACTCGATGAACAGTTATTTCCAATGGTCTTCACTGGTGACCAGTGGCATGAGAACTGTTCTCAGAAGCAAGTTTTAACATGCCAGAAACATCAAAGAGATCAGGCAACACTACGCCAGGGACAACACTCCCTTGCTTTAGAAACTAGTAATTACTGAGGGGGAAGTACAACTTCAGCTGCTTGATAGGAAATGCTTTAGCTAACGTGTGATATCCTGGTTAGAGGTTGGAGGGAAGAGGGCTGAAACAACATGCAGAAGTTTCTCAAGAATTTTATATCCCACAGGTTCATTTCCGCTGGCTTTACCATGCAGAAAAGAATAACCACTGCAGCAAGATTTGACAGGACACCTGAAACGACCGTCAGAATCCCTTGTAAGTATCGACATAACAGAAGTGTTGTTCTAGTGCCCTTTTCTTCAGTAAGTATGTTACCAGAGAAAATAGAGCTAAGAAACCAATAACTTCTAAACAGTACATCCATTTCCAGTCAACACCAGCAGTAACTGACAGTTACAAGACACATTTACTCTTATAAAACAGTGAGCACTAACTACACAACGTCACTGTGTCTAGAATTAGATCCTCAGATTTAATCCACTTATGCACAATGCTTCCTAGGGAAGATTCTAGCTGCTTCCTCTTCAGCAGAGTGGCAGGAATATCTACCACACAGAAGATCCTACCCAACAATTAAATATTCCTAGATAAGTGTTGTGAAAGGAATATTCAACCACTTCTAGATACAAGCAACTGCCCACTCAAAGTTAAATTCTGGAATTGCTCTGTAGAGCAACAGAGGTAAACACTGCAAAACATTTTAAGACATCTTATATCTTTTATGAGCTCTAATTCACTAGCAATATATACCAGACTACTTCCTTTCTAAATGAAGTAGTCTAAATATTCCATAGAAATGGAAATTTTTAAGGCTCTAGGTACTTTAACTACTACCTTATACATATTTTTACATGTAAAGAGTAATAGTCAGTACAAATATACTTACCAGTACTTTTTGTACAACCTGCCTTTAGCAGATTGGACCAAGTATTGTTTTAAAATGTTATTTATAATGGATTTTTTTGCAGATAAGCACAGGAGGTATTCACACATGAGTTAAAATCCCATTTGTACCTAGACCTTTCACAAAAGTCAGCCATTTGAAGTGCTGCACCATTTGTCAAGTTTGTTTGTTAAAAAGGCAATTAAGATGCATTCATTCCTCACTGAAGTCACCAAGGAAAAAGGCAAAAATAATTCCAGAATCTGCTAATACCTTTCAAGGTACTACAATAACCTCCCATGGACTAGCAGTCAAAATACTTCTCATCTCACTTTAACCCTGTCCTGGTTTCAGCCAGGATAGAGCTGTGAAAACCAGCTCTATCCTGGCTGAAACCAGGACAAACCTGTGTTTTAAATGTATCTTCTCAAGTAGATGTTTTCTCAAAGCAAGTCAAACATAGGTGTGCAGTGAAGATTCCATGTTTAAATCAAGCTGAAAACCACTTCAGTTTCAAGGCAAGAATTACGGTGAAGTTTCTCTTTCTTGCTAGGCTGGCAAGTTTTCTGTTGTTTTGTTTGTTTAACTGAAGACACCAGATGCAAATGTTTGCTGCTTTACTATCAACCGAGAAATTGCAATTGCTTTATGTGTGTCCCAACTTCAGCTGAACAAATCAAGAGGTATGAGGATAAGCCACTGCTCCATCCTTACAAAAAATTTAAAAAGCTAAAAAAAAAATCAAGTTAAATTAGAATCCTGTATTTTGTGCAACTTATGGATAGGTTTGCATTTGTATTATTGTGATTTTTTAAATGTACAGTAAACCAAAATATTTCAAACACCCTGACAGTTAAAAATACTGAGTATGTAGCCGCTAATTAATTTAAGTGTTTCATACCAATTTGATGTTTTATTGAATTTTGACATTTTTAGCCAAGTATATCCTTAACACTGAGCTCGTAACATTTTGGTTGATGTGCAAGATTCTGTTGAAGTTACACTGACAGAATAGCTGTAATTATTTAGTGTATCTTAGGAATGGTCAGTGAAATAAAGTGTTTAGATTCCTTAACAAACCCTCAAGAACCAAGTCACCAAAACAAGTGGTTAACCGACCATATTACATGCTCACCATACTGTAAGATCTTAAAAAAGAGAAACAGAAAGGGTAGTAAAATAAAATTTTCATTCTACTGGTTGTAGACAGTAACTCTGGTGCCACAGGCAGCATGCTTTTAGAGACACTGATTTAATAAACTCAATTACCTTATGCTCATGATATGTCAAGCTAACACCTGAATTACTTTTCACTGCAGGACAAATTCCATTAGGAATACTGACATTTGTTCTTAACGTTCTGCAGTAAGAGGCAGAGTTTTAGAATCCACAACACACACACATGCAAAATCCACATTCGTAAGTTAACCTTGCACTGCAGCAGCTTCTGAATTAGCAGTAACTTCCAAATTAGTAGCAGCTTCCTGCTGTGCTTCCTCCACAGCAGGGGATGCATCTGGAGCCGGCAAGTCACTCTCCCCTCCAGTTTCTGGGGATACCCCAGCACTCTCATCCTGCGCTGCAGGTCCAGCAGCAGCTACTGCATCAGCCTCTTCCGTGGCTGTCTCTGCTTCAGTGACTTCAGCTGTCTCTTCTTCATCACCTTTTAAGGATTTGTTTAATACAATAAAGAGAGTAAAGTGCATGCAACACAAATTCACCAACTACTTTTTCCCATCACCCTCATCTAAATTTAAAATGGGAAGCTAAGCTTTGAGATCAAAATTTACAAAGTCAAGAAATCAATAATTAATCCCCCCATCTTGTCTAATGTGGCACCAAAAAACATGTTTACAAGATAAGGAAACCATATTCTTAATTACCGAGTTTCATAACTGCTTCAGTGAAATACAAAAAGAAACTGTAGCTTAAAGCAAGTGACTGCAAGAGGTGGGAGTGCAGGGAAGGATAAAAAGGGACCACACCAAGTGTTGTTCCAAACCCGCTCTGATAAAAGGGACAGTGATAACGTGCTCATGGGAGCCAGAGGGAGCAGGATGCTTGGCCAGTTCACACACAGCAAATGAGTTACCACACTGGGAGTAAGACATTTGCTACCATACTTAGAAGCTCTTACGGAGTTTATTATCCATCAGGCTCACAGCTTAGCAGCACTGCAACCCAAGGTGTACCTTCAGTTTGTGCTGAGCTGTTTTCAAGGTGGCTAACTTGGCTGGCAACAGCTACAACAATGCCGAGCCCAACAAGAGATTAATTTTCAGCTGGGTTTTGTGCCATCTCTTAGCTCTACCCTGCCACAGGTATTCTGCTACCCCTATTCACCCTGCTTTCTTTAAAGCTAGACTGAATGCACTGGGACCACTGCAAAAGCCATAGCACTCAAGTAAGAAAGGTAAGGTCTGCAGGGCAGAATGAAACAGGGGATCCTTACTGAAACTAGGCGTATGTAAGTAAGAAAATAATTTGCTAATTTTAAGTGGTCAGCACTCACTTTACTGGAGATATGACCACTTATGACTGACCGTTTTCTTCTTAGAAGCCCCAACTGTCTTTTAAAGGCTTGTCTATACTGCCATGGGTCAAACTCTTTAGAAGCTGAAAAACCCAGTGTTTCCTAATCATGCATTACTTCAAACTCAGTTCAGACAAGTCATTAAAAACTAACAGCACAAAACAAAGGTGCACAATCACCATGCAAACATGCACTAAGATCAAGTTAACAAAAGAGAGTTAGATACCAAGTGTTCATTGCAAGTTTACCACTAGAACCAACACACCATGTGAAAAAATAGAACTGGGAATAACGTTTGTAATACAGTGAAACTAAGTGAGAATAGAAAGGAAAGAGCTTAAAGAGACATAGTCAGAATTTATCTCGTATCTGTTTAAAAACTAAACAAATCAATTTTCAGTATTGGTTTTCTTATGCTACTGCAAGCCTATCTTTTTGTGTTCAGGTTTAAACACAAGTCTATTCATTGCTCAGTAAAAGTCAAAGCTTTGTATTATGCAACCTGGTCATGTCCCTTTAAGAGAACGCTATATTTCAAAAAAGCTAAATTGATTACACAAAGAACAGACTAACAGCCAAGCTCAGCATTCAGAACACTTTATTGGACAGTCAAATATAGAGTGCATTCATTCAGAACAGCCAGCTTCTCAATCCCAGAACTGCCTTCTACAAAGCAGATTCAGTAATAAACTCAATATGGTTTGGCCTTGCAAACATAGGTAGTTCTTTCAAAGTCTCACAAGTATGGAGTTTTACAATAGAAGGTATAAAGTCATCCCAAGGTAGGCTGCAAGGTACGCAATGGTGAACGACTGTCCTTTGTATTTAACTTCCTCGGGTTTGGAAAGGGATTTCCCTTGTATTTTAGGCTGGAAAGTGTAAAAGCAGAGTATAGATTAGAAAGATTGAATCAGCTTGCATCAGGTTAAAAAGAAAAGTCATTGCTAAAAAAGAAGGAAATCAGGAACAAGTTTAAAGGAGACACATGCAAATGGAAGACAGTACTCAGTATTTGCTCAACAAGCAAGAAAGAATGTTCTGCAAGACAAACATCATTTCACAGTTCAAATGATGTCCCAGATTTCCTACTGCTACTTCGAGCCAGGCTTCTGCCAGAGGCTCTCTACATTTGAGAGTAGCTTTCAGTTAAGAAGAGCTACAGAAAATTTGCTATTAGTTCTTTTTTTAAACGTCTAATATCATTAATTAGAATACCATTAAGTATCATTTCAACACACTAATAAACAAACAAGCCTAGAATAGCATTTGATTGTTTCTCTTGTTTTGACAGCTTTGTTTACTATATGTAGTTCTTTGTAACAGACATTTTGGGTTTGGGCGCAAGGGGAAAATTTTACTCAGGGTGAGAAACCACGAAAATCATTTGGATCAGGAGAGCCTCTCTCTGATCAGCTGCTCCCTAATATTTTCTTCCAGGTAGAAAGTTCTCTTCCCATAGGACATGTAGCAAATATACCATGAATGCGCTGTTTGGCATGCTGCTTTTTCTATCCACCACTCCCTATTGTTACCAGCACTGTTTTACAGCTTATTTTAAGCTTGATTTTATGTGACGCTAAAAAATGTTAGATTACTTGAGAACAGAATTTTTAATTGCTCTTATCAGCAACATGTACTGTGGAAAAACGTAAGGACTAACTACATCTAAAGAATATGTGGGGAAAGAAGCTGCAGGGGCACTTCAGGGAAAAGTAGTACTATGGTAACACTCTGTGACAAGATACACACAAAAATATGACTATGCAGG